TACAGTGATGATGATGCTGATGACGATGACGATGACGATGATGATGATGACGATGATGATGATGATGGTGATGATGTCGAGGGTGATGGTGAAGGTGGTGGTGACGACGATGAGATGATGACGAAGATGATGATGATGATGATGATGATGATGATGATGATGACGACGGTGACGATGACGATGTTGAGGATGGTGGTAATGATGGTGATGATGATGATGATGATGATGACGCTGCGGGTGATGATGATGATGATGATGATGATGGTGGTGGTGGTGTTGATGATGAAGAGTAGGATGGTGATGACGATGACGACGATAATGATGGTCCTGATGGTGATGAGGATGATGATGACAATGATGATGACGATGATGACGATGATGCAAAGGCGATAATGGTGGTGATGATGATGACGATAAGGATGAGGGTGGTGATGCAGAATATTGGTACAATGCTGATGACGTCGATGTGATGAGGATGAGGATGCTGATGATGATACCTGTGTAGATGACGATGCTGATGCTCTTGATGAAGGTGCTACTGATGATGATGACGATGCTGATGACAATGCTGATGCTGCTGATGATGCTAATTGTTACTGATGGTGATCATGATGATGCTGATGCTGCTGCTGACGATGATGATGCTGATGGTGACGATGACGACGACGATGATGATGATGATGATCTTGATGATGATGATGGTGGTGGTGGTGATGATGAGGATGATGATGATCATCATCATGCGGTTGATAAGGGTGGAAATGATGATGATGATGATGATGATGATGATGATGATGATGATGATGATGATGATGATGATGACTACGACGAGTACGACGACGACGACGGCGACGACGACGATGACTACGACGATGCTGTGGGTGATGATGGAGTTGATGATGATGATGCTGCTGCCGGTGATGATGATGACGATGATGATCTTGTTGCTGCTCCTGCCAATGATGACGATTATGATGTTGTTGATGATGATGGTGTTGATGATGATATGATGATGACGAAGATGGTGATGCAGATGATGTTGACGATGATGAGAGCGATCATGATGGTGTTGGCGTTGCTGCTGCTGCTGATGATGATGATGATGATGATGTTGATGGTGGTGGTGGTGATGATGATGATGTTGATGATGGTGATGATGCTGACGGCGACGATGACGACGGCAGCGGCGACGGTGACGACGATGACGATGATGCTGATGATGCTGCTGATTATGATGATGCTGCTGATGATGAGTAGGGGTAGCTCAGGTAGGAGGGGGAGGAGGGGGAGTAGACGGAGGAGGAGCCCGCGCAAGAGGAGGAGGAGGATGAGGAGGAGGACCAGTGGAAAGCCAATACTCATGATTGATGATGCAATAAAACCTCTTTCCAAGTTCCCTCGTCATGGGACTCTCGGGTGTGCTGTCACCGAGAGAATGTTCTGTTAGAAAGCAACCAGACCCGTGCCAGAACTCCGTTCGTGGGCCTTCAACGCAGCGGATCAACGTTATTGTTGTGGCGTCCTGGCGAGATTTCAAACCGTGCCAGGACACCGTTCCTGGGACTTCACCACCGCCCATCAACGTAACTGTCGCTCCCTGACAGGCTTCTAGCGTACATCGTGCCAGCATGCCTATTGTGGGACGTCGCCCACAGTAATCCTTGCAATCAATGCGCGGCGAAACAGCGTGGCGCTAAGGCGAGAGCCACACGTTGAAACGGTACCGCCCTCCATCCGTGAACCCCTTGCAAGCTTTCGGGGCGAACGTGCGCGGCGCGCAGGCGAGAGCCACATTTTTTCACACCACCCGCCCGGAGGAAAGACTGGTCTACTCTGTAAGAACGGTTTTTTGAAGGCAGATCTGCCTTCAAAAAACCGTTCTTACAGAGTAGACCAGTTTTTTGAAAGCAGATCTGCCTTCAAAAACAAAAAACCGTTCTTACAGAGTAGACCAGTTTTTTGAAGGCAGATCTGCCTTCAAAAAACCGTTCTTACAGAGTAGACCAGTCTTTCATCCGTGAAGCTCGTGCGAGCTTTCAGGGCGAAGTTGCGCGGCTCTCAGGCAGATGCCGCATTTTGAAAACGGCCCGCCCTCCCCCCGTGAAGCCCTTGCATTTTTTTTGGGGCGAATGCGCGCGGCGCTGGGGCGAGAGCCACGTCTTGAGACTGGCCCCCGCCCTCCATCAGTGAAGCTCGTGCATGCTTTCAAGACGAATGTGCGCGGCGCTCCGGCGAGAGCCACGTTTTGAAAACCACCCGCCACCTACCCGGCGTCGCCGATGGCGTCGACATCGCCGGTGGCGGCGGAGGAGGAGGAGGAGGAGGAGGAGGAGGAGGAGGGGGATCAGGAGGGAGGAGGAGGAGGAGGAGGAGGAGGAGGAGGGGGAGCAGGAGGGAGCAGGAGGAGGGGGAGCAGGAGGGAGGGGGAGGAGGGGGAGGAGGAGGAGCTAGCCGTGAAATCGCTGCACATTTTCAGCTAACTGATCATGCAGGCGAAATGCCTGGCCCGCCCTACCGGCACGCCGCGGGATGCGACAGGGGAGGAGTTGTTTAGAAAGAGCAGGGGCGGAGGAGAGGACGAGAAGGAGGAGGACGAGAAGGAACAGGAGGAGGAGGACGAGAAGGAGGAGGACGAGAAGGAGGAGGGGGAGGAAGAGAAGGAGGAGGACGAGAAAATGAGGATGAGGATGATGAGAAGATGAGGAAATAAGTTGTTTATAAAGAGGAAGACGAGAAGGAGGAGGAAAGTGAGGATGAGGAGGAGAGGGAAGAGAGGGGCGAGCGGTAGGAGAGGGAGTATGAGGGAGAAGGATGCAGGGACGAAGATGATGATGCTGATGATGATGATGCTGATGATGATGATGCTGCTGCTGATGTTGAGGATGAGGATGATAATGCTGCTGCTGATGATGATTTTGAGGATGAGGATGATCATGATGATGATGACGATGCTGATGACGATGTTGGCAATCATGACCATGACGATGATGGTAATGATGATGCTAATGACGATGATGGTACTGATGGTAATGTTGATGATGATCAGTCCTATGATGATGATGTTGATGATGATGGTTGTAGTGGCGATGGTGATGATGATGACGATGATGATGATGCTGTTGTTGTTGTTGCTGATGATTTGGATGATGATGACGCTGGCGATGATGATGGTGATGCTGCTGACGATGATGATGATGGTAATGATGCTGCTGATGATGATGGTGATGGTGATGGTGATGGTGATGGTGATGGTGGTGAGAATGATGATGGAGGGGAAGAAGGATGATGACGAGGACGAGGACGAGGATGCTGATGCTGCTGCTGATGATGATGACGATGATGATGATGATGACGATCATGATGATGGCTATGATGAGGATGATGATCAGGATGACGAGGATGGCCATGATAATGATGCTGACGGTGCTTATGTTAGTTTTTATGATGATGCTGACCACGATGATGATTATGACGATGTGATGATGAAAAGTTCGCTGATGTTGATGCTGCTGCTGATGATGCTGATTTTGATGATGATGCTGCTGATGATGTTTCTGCTGATGATTCCGATGATGATGGTGATAATGTAGATGATGATGCTGATTCTGATGGTGATGGTGTTGATGCTGCTGACAATGATGCTGATGATGATGCTGGTGCTGATGATGATGGTGATGATGATGGTGATTATGATGATGCTGATGATGATGATGCTGATGATGATGAGGATGATGATGAGGAGGATGAATGATGATGATAATGATGATGATGCTAATGATGATGGTGATGATGATTGATGATGATTGATAATGATAAGGATGATGAGGATGATGAATGATGATGATGATGATGATGATGATGATGATGACGATGATGATGATGATGATGATGATGATGACGTTGACGTTGATGTTGATGATGATGATGATGATGATGATGATGATGCTGATGATGCTGATGATGATGATGCTGGTGCTGCTGATGTTGATGATGATGAAGGTGATACTGAGAGATTATTGTGATGACGATGCTGCTGATGATGATGATGATGATGACGACGACGACGATGATGATGATGATGATGCTGATGCTGATGCTGATGCTGATGTTGGCGATGATGATGATGCTGATGAGGATGATGATGATGAGGATGAGGATGATGATGATGCTGATGCTGATGCTGATGCTGATGCTGATGCTGATGCTGATGATGATGATGATGATGATGATGATGAGGATGATGATGATGATGATGATGATGGTGATGATGATGATGATGACGCTGACGATGATGATGATGATGATGATGATGATGATGATGATGATGATGATGATGATGATGATGATGATGATGATGTTGATTCTTATTATTATTATGATTATTATTATTATTATTATTATGATTATTAACTTTTATTATTATTAGTAGTATTATTATTATTATTACTTAATTGTTATCATCACCATCAATCATCATGAGGAGGAGGAGGAAGAGGAGGAGGAGGAGGAGGAGGAGGAGGAGGAGGAGGAGGGGAAGGAGGAGGAGGAGGAGGAGGAGCAGGGCAGGAGGAGGAGGAGGAGGAGGAGCAGGATGATGAGGAGGAGGAGGAGGAGGAGGGAGGAGGACGAGGACGAGTAGGAGGAGAAGAAGGAGAACGATGAGGAGGAGGAGGAGGTGGAAGAAGAAGAAGAAGGGAGGTTGATGAAGAGGAGTGGAAGGAGGAGGAGGAGCGGAGGCGGAGGAGGAGGAGGAGGAGGAGGAGGAGCAGGAGCAGGAGGAGGAGGAAGAGGAGAAAGAGGAGGAGGAGGAGGAGGATGAGGATGAGGAGGAGGAGGAGGAGGAGGAGGAGGAGGAGGGAGAAAATGGATAACGAGGAGGAGGATGAGGAGGAGGAGGAGCGAGGATAGGAGGAGGTGCCCCTGTCCCTGCTCGCTTTCCCTCCCTCCCTTCCTCCTTCTCTCCTGTCTCCTTCTTCCCTTCTTTCATCCCGCTTCTCAAGGCGGCCGGGCAGCAGCATGAGCGGCAGCCTGTCGGCTTCAGGGTCTGGTTTGTCCTGCTGTTCGCGGCGGGGCTCGCGGCGAATTTGGCCTGCTGGAGGCCCGACCTCCTCGAGGAGGGGAAGGAGGGCGGAGGAGAGGGGAAGAAAGGATGCGGAGGAAGCGAGGAGGGCAGGAAGGGCGGAGGAGTGGGATGCAGATGTTGATGATGCTGATGATGCTGATGATGATGCTGATGATGCTGATGATGATAATGCTGATGATGATGCTAATTCTGATGATGCTGCTGATGATGATGAGTACGATGATGATGACGATGACGATGATGATGGTGATGGTGTGCAGGAGTCTTATTAATACGATGACGATGATGATGATGGTGATGGTGTGCAGGGATGATGCTGATGATGCTGATGATGGTGCTGATGATGATGCTGCTGATGATGATTCTGATGATGCTGCTGCTGATGATGATGATGAGTATGATGATGATGATAACGATGACGATGCTGATGATGCTGATGATGCTGATGATGATGCTGCTGCTGATGATGATGATGATGATGATGAGCATGATGATGATGATGATGTTGATGACGATTATGATGATGGTTATGATGATGATGCTGCTGACGATGCTAATGCTTATGATGAGTATGATGATGCTGATGACGCTGACGATGATGATGATGCTGCTGCTGATGATGATGACAATGATGATGCTGCTGATGATGCTGATGATGGTGATGCTGATGCTGATGAATATGGTAGTGGCGATGCTGATTCTGATTATGATGATGATGCTGATGATAATGGTGATGATGATGATGAGGAGGAGGACGAGGACGAACAATAGTACAACAAAAACATGAAATAATAATACGAGTAATAAGGATAATAAGAGTAAGACTAATAATAAAGACCAATGATAATACGACTGATGCTAATAATGCTAGTGCGAGGGATAATATTAAGAACACGATTAATAGTAATCGTATTATTATTGTTATTGTTAGTACTACTTCACATCATAATAATAATACAATGAAAAAAGAGGAGGTGGATGAGGAGGAGGGATGAGGATGGATGACGAGGAGGGGAGGCGGAGGAGGAGGAGGAGGAGGAGGAGGAGGAGGAGGAGGAGGAGGAGGGATGAGGATGGATGACGAGGAGGAGAGGAGGAAGGATGAGGATGGATGAGGAGGATGAGGAGGGAGGAGGAGAGGAGGAGGAGGAGGAGGAGAGGAGGAGGAGGAGGAGGAGGAGGAGGAGGAGGAGGAGAGAGGAGGGAGGAGGGAGGAAAAAGAGGGAGGGGGAGAATGGAGGAGGGATGAGGGAGGCGGGGAGAGGATGATAATGGAGGAGGATGATAATGGAAGAGGATGATAATGGATGATGATCATGATGATGATGATGATGATGATGATGATGATGATGATGATGATGATGATGATGATGATGATGATGATGATGATGATGATGATGATGATGAGGAGGAGGAGGAGGAGGAGGAGGAGGAGGAGGAGGAGGAGGAGGAGGAGGAGGAGGAGGAGCGAGGAGGGGACGGGGCGGGTGGACAGCGATCGGAGTTCTTGGGCGAGCTGGGACCTCCTCGGGACTCCGCCAGCCTCCAGGGGCGTCCGGGGACACATCGGGGGGCTTCTGGGCACCCGCAGGGAGCCCTGGAGGCTTCCAGGGCACTCGGGGGCCTCGACGCGCGACGCGAGCAGAACGGAGATGGAGTGGGGAAGACATTGCAAAGGCCTTGCGGTGCCACCGACCCTGAAGGGGGACGACGACAACGGCGGCGGCGGCGGCGACGACGACGACGACGCTGACGTGGGCCAGAGGGGATGCTTCCTGGGTTTTTTCGGAAGGCTCTCGGGGGCCTCTGGGGAGGATTGCCGGGGCCTCTTGGGGGCCTCTGGGGGGCCTCCTGTGAGCCTCTTGGGGCCTCCGTGCGCCATGCGAGCAGAACGGAGGAGGAGTGAGAAATCTATTCTCGTCCAAACCATCCTGTAACGCTGGGCTCGCGTTTTGCAGAGGCATCGCCTCGCGTCCACTTCTCCCGCTGCCCCCTCCCTCCCCTCTGCTCCCTCCTTCCCCCCTGCATCTGCCCTGCGCACGTCATGATCGTCATCGTTTCGGGCACACCACTCACGTTTCGAGGGCTCACAGGGAGCTCCACTGAAGGCTCGTGTGGGAGGGTTCGCATTCGTCCCCCCGCCAATTTCGGCGCACACGTCACACGTTTCGTGGTCCCACGGGGAGCTCCACCAGGGTTCGCATGTGTACTCCCGCCCCTTTCGTGCACCCCTCACACCTTTCGAGGCTCCACATGGAGCTCCACCGAAGGTTCCTGCGGCAGGGGTTGCAAGTGGCCTTCCGCCCATTTCTACACACCCCTCACTTTTTGTGGCCCACAGGGAGCTTCACCGAAGGCTCGCGTGGCAGGGTTCGTCTACTTCCCCCGCGCCCATTTCGGGCCCCCTCGTTGGCACGTTTCGTGGCCCCATAGGGAGCTCCATCGAAGGCTCCTGTGGCAGGGTTTGCATGCGTCCTCCCGTTTATTTCGGCGCACCTCTCACGTTTCGAGGGCCCACAGGGAGCTCCACCGAAGGCTCTCGTGGCAGGGTTTGCATGCGTCCCCCCGCCCATTTCGGCACACCCGTCACACTTTTCGTGGCCCCACGTGGAGCTCCACCAAATGCTCTCGTGGCAGGGTTCGCATTCGTCCCCCCGCCCACTTCGGCACATCCCTAACACCTTTCGTGACCGCGCAGGGGGCTCCACCGACGGCTCCTGTGGCAGGGTTTGCATGCGTCCCATGAGCACTTCGGCACACCCCTCACACATTTCGTGGCCCCACGCGGAACTCCACCAAATGCTCTCGTGGCAGGGCTTGCATGCGTCTCCCCGCCCATGTTGGCACACCCGTCACACGTTTCGTAGCGCCACGGGGAGCTCCACCAACGGCTCTCGCGGCAGGGTTCGCATGCGTCCCCAGCGCCCATCTCGGCGCACTTCTGTCACGTTTCGTGGCCCCACAGGGAGCTTCCCCTTTCTTCGTTTCACCTTCTTTGCGATATTCACACTTGCATCTGGTTAGGTGTACGTCAGCCCTGGCTGGTTCTAGGAGGTTCTGGGGGAGGAGGCTCTGGGGGATCCTTCTTCGTCTCCTCTTTCTCGTCGTCCGCCTTCCCCTCCCTCTTCCTTCTTGCTCTTGATCTCCTCCTTCTGGCTCCCTCCTCCTCCCCCTCCTCCTCCTCCTCCTCCTCCTCATCCTCCGCCTTCAGCATTTAAAAGGGCGGTGGCTGGCTCCTTTGGCCATACGCTGATATGTTTTGTATGGCCAGTATCCTTGCAGGTGTTTTCTGACGGGGGCTATGTTCATGGAGCAGGCGTTGCTGCTTGTGTGGTTGTTGGTATTTTCGCATCTGGCGTAGGCTTGCGCGCCACGATCCTTGGAACTCGGGGTGTCTATACCCCGCGGGTCATATGGAAGTGTACGCACTTAACATGGCTACGAAGTATGTCGTCGACCTGGCCGACAAGATGTTGCGGCCGCCGAAGCGGGCTCGTTTTTTCTTGTGATATCGTACTCTTCGGCAACACGAGGACTGGCGCCTAGCACAAACAACTCCAGAACTGACCATTCACGAAAGGCGGGTCCATTTCAAGTTTGGACTTTCGTTTTGGCAAAGTTCCGCTCGTGGAGGGTGGCTCCATTTCACGTTTGTGCTCTGGCTTGGGACAGCGTTAGATCTTATGGCCCGAAGCAAGAGCTGTGCATGATCTCTTTGCGCTCGTGGAGGGCAGCTCCTGTCCAGCGTGGGGCTCCCACTGGGCACGACTCTGCACTGCGTGGCCACTGCCGGAGGGCGGCTGCTTTTTTCGCACTGGGGCCCTCGCCTGCACGGCAGGCCCGCGCGGCTCTCGTGCCCCGTTGTGCGGGGATGTTTGCGGGGACCTCTGAAGAAGGGGCTCCGGAGGGGGGGGTGAGCTGCCGCATCGCCAACGCATCATGGATCAACTCTGGTCCTCCTCCTTCCACTCCTCCTCCTCCTCCTCCTCCTCCTCCTCCTCGTCCCCTGTGCTGGGGTGTTCGCTCTTCGCCCGCCAGTGCCCTGAGCGTGTGCGACGCCGCGGGGATAAGGTAGAGAAACGCGACGATGCATCCGCTCCTTCTCTTCCTTTTTCCTCCTCCTCCTCCCCCTCTTCCTCCTTGCTCATCTCCTCCGTTCTCTCCTCCCTCTCCTCCCTTCTCCCCGTTCGTACGTCCTCACCCTCATTCTCATTCTCATTCCCAGGCCGAGGGGCGTCTGTGACGCACACCAGGCATTCTTCTCTCCTCCTTCAACTCCTCCTCCTCCTCCTCCTCCTCCTCCTCCTCTTCCTCCCTCCTCCTCCTCCTCCGCCTCCTGCTCCTCCTGGTTATGCTGGTTGTCTTCATTCCCAAGCCTCCCCTGAGGTAGGTAGAAGACCAGAGGTCTCATTTTACTGGTCTCGAGTGTGGTCCAAGATTTGTCAGCATGAGATTCTCAAGCAGGAGTACAGTGTCGATGCTAGGTTCTTGAGGGGCAAGTCGGGAGACACGGCGGCTGACCGGTCCGCCAAAACTCGCTGGTGATACATGCTAAGTCACGGTGCTTTTAATAATGGGACTATCTATTTTGACACTTGTATATTCCAGGACAATGTCTCTCATCAGGCGAGGTGCGAAGCAGGTCGGCAGTATGGATTCGATGCGTAATTATTGCGATGCATTTGCGCGGTGTATCGCGGCCTTCGTTGAGCTTGCTGGCTAGGTGCTACGTCGAGGCCCGTACCGCCGAAAGGAACTGTGATTGCAGGATTTGGTTCTGGTATCGGTGCAATTAAATTCTAACGTTGTGGATGCTCCGCCAAGTGTCAATGGATACCCACGCTTTCCGTACGCTGAACTTCGTGGATGATTTGAAGTTTCAGGCTGTTGGTTCTCTCCGTATCGTGGTTGCTCAGCTCGTGAAGGCTGCCAAGATGGTGGTGGAGGCCATAAGGAGTCAACAGTGGAGACCCATGCCAAGAAACACCATACTTGGCTCCATGGTGCCCTGGGTTTCTTGGGCTTCGATGGTTTTCTTTGAAAATCGTCATGTTCCCAGACCAAAAATCAATTGGCGTCCTGGGGTCTCAGGGTTGGGTTTCTTGTGGAAGGTTTCTTGTGATAAGGCCCCTACTGTATGTAGGGCTGCCCCTCGATTTAGGCAAGACCTTTTTTTTCTCTCTTCCTGCTCGGAGCTTTTGGAGGTCCCGCTTGAAGATCCCGAGTGGTCCCTTGACGACATACTCCTTGGTAGCACTCGCCGTGACTTAGGCGGTGATACTGCCGACGGCAAGGCCCGTAGAGCCCCCACGCAAAGTAGACGCTTCCTGGGCTCGTCGGCCGCAGCGCTCAGGCCGTCTCAGATCGGGCGGGGGAGGGATGTGTCTCGCGTTCACAGGGCCGGTCCCGTCGCTGAGGCCGCGTGGGGGGCGCATGTCATGGCGCTTGACAATTCATTTTTGAGGACCCTTAGGGTTGCTGCTGCGAGATCTTTCGGACCCCTCCAACCTGGATCCTTCCTGGGGCCCACCTTCCTCCTCAGTGGGGCCCCCCAGCCGAGACCCCCTTGTTGCCACCGTGGTGGATGCGCTTGAGACTTTTGTGTCAGTTTGGTGTCACCGCAGTGTGTCCAAGACCGTCCTTGCCTTCGCCTTTTAAGACGCTCTTATCACCGAGAGCATAATCTTTCCCTCGGCAGGACATGGCGGAGGTCAGACCTAGCTGAGGAGGTTTTGATCGACCGAGTTGGTCGTGCTTGGAGCCACTCCGAGTACTTCCCCGCGTTTGTTGCCCAGCGTGTTCGTCAAGCGTGTGTTGATGCCGTTGTACTTGACGGGCAGATTCGGCAGAGCGACTTCGGTTCGGAATGGCGAGGTCCGATCTGCCTCAAGTCGGCTTGAGTTTTGGTCTCTCTCCAATCGTCTTCCTGGTGCGACCGCTGACGCCACTGCTTGCGCGGCCTGGTAGTTATCAGGCATCGGTGCCAGATGCGGTTTTCCGACTTTAGACTTTGCTCCAGAGTGTTTGCTCTGTCAGGCGGCACCAGGGGCGATGTTTCACCGACGTTTTGATTGCGAGGTGCATGCGCTGTGGCGCCGTGATTTTCTCAGCACTGACCTTCGGAGAGCCGCCGCCGACAGGGTTCGCCTTCTCTCTTCCAGGGCCCAGGAGTTGCCTTCGCGATGCAAGCTCCCAGACTCTCCACCTGTTGGTTTGCCCGTCTGAGGAGCCCGTGGATGCCACCGTGTAAAAACACAATTGGCCAGCCGATGGCCTGATGTCGGAGTGTGGCACGCGTGTATTTCTGGACGGATGCTGTTTTGAACCAGCGCTGCCCAGGATTGGATCGGCGGGATGGGCGGTGATCGTCACGGACGGGTGGGGGAAAATTGCTCGTTTGATTTGGGTGTGTGTGTGTGTGCTTCTAGATGTTGTTCCGTCCCAAGTGGCGAGACTTGGCGAGGAACACGCTGTGTGATCTTCTGTCCGCCGCGCTTTGGTTCTCCCAGGGGCTCGCCCATCTGGGGATTGTTGTGGGGCCTTGGGTTATGGCTCCGGTCCCATCCAGGCCGTTGATCCCGATAATGCTCGTGCGCATCTTTGGCAGCCTGTCCCTGACAACCTCGAAGCTGTCTTGTGGCATAAGGTGCCCGCTCGTTGCACGGCCCGTTTTGTATTGGATCCTGCAGGTCCATCACCCCAGCGAGAAACAACTTGTTGTGTCCCGCGCCACCGTGCTCTCGGACAGGGCGCGCGACTTTTTGGCGGGTGAGTAAGATGGGCCTGGACGGCCACCCCTCGCTGGGCCCTCACGGGCCTTGCGTCTTCCTGTCTGCGTTTTTGGCGGGGGTGGGAGGGGTGGGTCGGGCGTCGACCCCGTGAGAGGTCTTGCTCTCGTTGAGTCTCTCAGGGCTCGGGCGCGCGAGCGCCGCAGATAGGTGGTGCCACCTCCCGAGGACGCCGAGCCGTGAGCCGCTTGCTTCAGTTTTGCATGTTGAGTGCGCTGGCACCTTTGTGGCCGATGCCGAGCTCCTCCTCCTCCTCCTCCTCCTCCTCCTCCTCCTCCTCCTCATCCTCCCCCCTGCCTTCCTCCTTGCCCCCCTCCCTGCCCTCCCTCCCCTGGCCGCCGAGGTGGATGGCCGGCCCCGAGGACAAGAGCGCCTCCGACCTCGCCCCGGCGGGGCCGCCCGACGAGGCCGCCGCGGAGCGCGCCGCCGCCCCGCCGCCCGCCGCGGGACCAGCTGGTCGGACGGGGCGCCAACTGCACGCGAGCTTTCCGGTCCTGGCCGAGGAGGAGGGGGAGGAGGAGGAGGAGGGGGAGGAGGAGGAGGAGGAGGAGGAGGAGGAGGAGGAGGAGATCCCAGGCCTTCCGCCGCCGCGTTGTCGTCAGCGTCAGCGTCGTCGTCGTCGTCGGCAGCAGCGTCGTCGTCGCCGTCGTCGCCGTCGTTGGCGCCTGCGCCGGCGCCGGCGTCGTCGTCGGGGTCGTCGTCGTCGTCTTCGCCGTCTTCGTCGGCGTCGGCCGGCGCTGGCGCCTGCAGGGCTGGCGGCGACGACAGGGTCGGTGTGTATGTGTGTGTCCCAGCCCTTGTGTGTTTGGCTTAGGTCCAACTCTCCCATGTTGCTAGGTGTTCGTTTTGAATCCGCAGCGCTGCGCGTTTTCTCCATGTCCTCGATCCCTTCTCCTCCCGTCCCCTGCCACAGACGACGGCCTGCTTCTGTTTCTTGCTCCAGCCATATCTTGAGGAGCCGGTTTCTCGTTTTTCAATCCGCGGCACTGCGCGCCTCCTTCCTTCTCCTTCTCCTTCTCCTTCTCCTCCCCCCTCCTTCTTCTGCGGCTTTGCTCCGGATGTCCAAATGCTGGCACACGCGCACGGATCGGGCCCACAGTGAACTTCATATGCGGCCCCAGGGGGAGGGTCCGCGAAGCGCCCCCCGCCCACGTCGGCGCGGCCCTCGCACGGATCGTGCCCCGCAGGGAGCTCCACCTACGGCCCCACAGGCAGAATTCGCATGCGTCCCCCCGCACATTTCGGCGCGCCCGTGACATGGATCTTGACCAGAAGGAGCTCCACCTGCATCTCCAGCGATTGTGTTTCTTTGTGTCCTTACCCAGTTCGGTGCGTCCCTCACGAGTCATCCATACAGATGTTTAATTATTATTCTTTCGCGTACCCCTGCCAGCCCATCTGGACACGATTGGAGGCTTTTTTGAGGCCTTTTGGAGGCTATCTTGAGCCATGCTCGGCTAAAGGCTGTCGGGGTCTATCCTGAGCCATGCTCAGCTATCTTGGGCCATCTTGAGGCTGTCTTGAGGCCTATTGGAGGTCTGCAGGAGGCTATCTTAACCCATGCTCGACCTCCTTGGACCATCTCGGGGTCAGGAGGAGGAGGAGGAGGGGGAGGAGGAGGGGGAGGAGGTGGAAAGAGGAGGAGGAGGAGGAGGAGGAGACGGAAGACGAAAAGGGATGTGCCACGAGGAACAATACTAATATGATTATTGTTACTACGAATAATATTATTCATACTATGATGATGATGATGATGATGATGATGATGATGATGATGATGATGATGATGATGATGATGATGATGATGATGATGATGATGATGATGCTAACGCTGATGCTGATGATGCTGATGATGGTGCTGATGATGCTGATGATGATAATGATGATGATGATGATGATGATGATGATGATGATGATGATGATGATGATGATGCTGATGATGATGATGATGATGATGATGATGAGGAGGGTGCATGAGGCAGGAGGCAGGAACTGAGGGAAAGAACGGACGATGACAAGGAGGATGGGAAGTCGGGCTTTGGATACATGTTGTTGTGCGAGGTTCTTGAAGGACGACTCAGGCCATCTTGGGGTCCGGGGGGGCCTCTTGGGGCACTCTTGGGGGTCCTCTTGAGGCTCCTTTTGTGGGTCTTGGGGCCCACTTGGGGCTCATTGGAGGAGTCTGGGAGGCCTCCTGGGCCTCATGGCTCAAAAGGGAGGGGGGGACAATTCTTCCCGCTTCGCGTATCCCCACCAGCCTTTTTCCTCTTCCGTTGCGCTAATTTAAGTCTTTGCCCGTGTGCAATATCCTGGACGCCGCCCGACTTTGCCTCGCCGCGGTCGCGATCAACAATCCCTACCAGCCCATTCAGAAACCCTGCCCTTCAGAGCTGACGGGAAAAGGGACGAATAGACACATCTAGGGAAACAAAGCGAGCAAGGGGGTGGCCTTGGAAGGCCTCTTCGGGCCATCCCTGGGTGCCGCGTGGGGGCGAGAGGAAGAGGAGGGGAAGGAGGAGGATAAGGAGGAGGATGAGGACGAGGATGACGAGGAGGACGAGGGCGCGGATGAGGACGAGGACGAGGAGGACGAGGACTAGGATGCGGACGACGCGGACGAGGACTCATGGAACCATCTAGAGGTATTCTTGCGGCTTCTGCTGCTGCTGGTGCTCTCTGGGAGTTTTTGGGGCCCTCTTGGAACCCTCTTGGTAACCCTGGAAGTCTTCTCGTCATCATCTTGGAGGCCATCGGTTACAGGATGGGTGGGTCCGCAACTCAGCTCCACGCTCAGGAGCCGGCAAACCGCTTCTCAGGGCTCTCTTGGAGCGCTCTTGGACTCTCTTGGAGCGGTCTTGGGGCCGTTTGGAGCATCTTGGGAGCCATCTTGAGCCAGCTTGGGCTATCTGAGGCATCTTGGAGGTCATCTTGGGCTCTCTGAGACCGCTCGGGGACCTCTTGGCGGCCTCTCGGGTGCCTCTTGGGGCCCTCTTGGGACCCTCTTTGAGCACTCTTGGGGCTCTCTTGGGACCCCTGGAGCGCCTCTTGGGGCAAGCTTCGAGGCTATCGATCAAAGGAGGGAGGCACTCGATCGAGGCCTCCCTCTCGGGGGCCACGATCCTCGTGATGGGTGTCAGAAATTGGCCCTCTCAGGGGCCGATCTGATCTTGGGCGCTCCAACCGATCGCGGCCCCTCCCGTCCTGGTCCAGGGGAGGGGTAGGGGGAGGGGTCAAGACACCCTCTCCGCACGCAAGCCGTCTAGCTCACTCCCACCCGCCCCTCCAGGCATCCGAGTCTCGGCATAGCCAGGGGTCGCCACTGGATGGACAGCCACTGGGAACCAAAGCGGACGCCAGGTGCGCGACGCTCGCCGCGGGCTCCACATGCGGTTGGTGTGCCATGCTTCGCGTGATGCCCCTCCGTCCGCATGGTCCAGATGCTGATGTGGGGGGCGTCAGCATTGTTCTGGGCCTGCGCACAGCAAGCATCATCACGCGGGCACCACCGCCGTCCCTGTTAAAAAACAGTACAAAATGATCGCGGGTGGCCAGCACAGTACCCACGACGTTGTCGCAACGTGCGCTTTGTATTGTTTGTGACATGGATGGTGGTGGTCCTGCACAAAGCGGCTTCACTACGGATGCCCGGCATCCCGATCAAACAATAATACAACGTGCTCACAGGGTGTCAGCGCGCTGTCCAGATTTTGCCGCGATGCGCACTTCGTATTGTTTTTGACAGGGATTGTGGAGGGTGTTGGCAGGGTGGGCCCCGCAATGTGCACTCAGTATTGCTTTTTGACAGGGATGGTGGTGGGGGGGGGTGCCCGCATGGTTTGGGCTGGCTGCTTGGCCAGGTGGGGAGGGGGTGTGTATCAATGGGGGAGAGGGGCTTTTGGAATAGGGGAGCAAGTCATCGTTAGACCACCTGCGCCCAGAGGGCTGGTGGGAGTCAGACCCCCTCCCCTCGGAGACTTAAACATGGCGTCTTGGGGCCCTCTTGGGCCGCTCGTGGAGCGCGCTTGGGTGCTCTTGGGGCCCTCTTGGGCCCCTCTTGGGGCTCTCTTGGGCCGTCTTGGGGTCACCTTGAAGCCTCGAAAGCTCATCGGACGCAGAAAAAACACGATAAGACACACAACATTGGATTCCATAGGGGTTTGAAGGATTTTGGCCTCTTGGAGGGTGCCTGGGGCCCACTGGAGGTATGTAGGAGGCTGTATTGAACCATCTTCTGCTATCTTGAGCCATCTTGGAGGCCAGCTTGGGCTGCCGAGGGCCCTCTTGGAGCCATCTTGGGCCCACCTTGAAATCTACCCGCCGCCGCTGCCCCCCCCCCTCCTTTCCCAGGGGGTGTAGGGGTAGGGGTAAGCCCCTCCCCCGAGCAGGGGGAGGAGGGGGAGATACGACACAATTCGTTAAACCATCACGCCCTAATGGGCTGGTGGGAATATCCTTTACATGTAACTGCTAAGGATTGGGCCCCTCGCTTGGATGAATGTGCTGCTCACCTGGTTCGTTTCATGTTCTTCTTGATGTAAGGACCGTCGTTCGTTGACCGATGTCGTTTGCCCTCAGCGCACGGGCTGGGGACGTGCGCCTTCCCAGCGCATGTTTACCAGTGTTGGCCCCAAACCGTGGATTCTTGCACTCTGGATGCTCACTCTATGCTTCGGGTGCAATCCATCTTGTAGAACTTGAAGTCACCAACTCCATTGCTCGCACAACCATCCCGCCTTCCGCCCTCAAGTTGTTTTGCACAACCCACGCTGTCGCGGTTGCGGTGGCTGCTCGGCGCTGGTTGGCGCACTTCTGCGGCTGCGCTAGCGCGCGTTAGCTGGCGCGCAGCGCGGCCCGCTGGTTTGCCACGACCGATGTGGCCGCGATTGCGCGCGCCGATGGGGACATCCCAGCGCGTCTCAAAAAGGCCGCGGTAGCGCGCGGGTACTTCAGTGCGGGGCGGTGATCGGGCGGGCGCGGTATTCTGATGCCGCGGACAAGGGCGACAACGGTGATGCTGGTACTGGTCGTGGTTGCGATCATGACCAGGCCGATGGCAAGGCCAATGACGGCGGAGCGATGGTGGTGGCGATGATGACGGCGATGATGCGGATGTCTACCAGCCTGGAACATATCCCTATCCCTATGCTGGGCATCTCCTCATCACGATGCCAATCTTATGGATTTCCTTATTTTTTGAGGGCGAATCCCTAAGATTGTCATCGCCTTTTGGCGTGTGGATCTTAGGGATAGGGATAAGTTCGAGGCTGGTAAGTTGTCCGTATGTCGGTGGGGAAAGTGGCTGGCTGATGGTGGTGGCAGTGGCCCGTGGTGGCGAACCGCGATGGCGATGACTGCGGTGATGCGGCGGCGATGGTGCTAATGGTTGGTTGTTTGTGTGTGTGTGTGTATGTGTGTGTGTGTGTCTGTGTGTGTGTGTGGGGAGTGCGCATTCGCAG